GGACCTCAATCCTACAGACACACATGTGCTTAACTTTACTACTATGAGTTGTCCCATTGAAAACAATGGAACTATTCATAAAGTTAAGCACATGCATAAATCTTTGCAGAACTGGGGTCTTAGAAGTAACCATATTTTTTCAAATAAAACTAAAAACTAGGGTTGTCAAGCGATTAAAAAAATTAATTGTGATTAATCGCACTGTTTAATAATAGAATACCATTTATTTAAATATTTTTGGATGTTTTCTACATTTTCAATCAATATATTGATTTCAATTACAATACAGAACTCAGTGTACAGTGCTCACTGCCTATTTATTTTTGATTACAAGTATTTGCACTATAAAAAAAGAAATAGTATTTTTCAATTCACCTAATACAAGTACTGTAGTTCAATCTCTTTATCATGAAAGTTGAACTTACAAATGTAGAATTATGTACAAAAAAAATAATTTAAAAATAAAACAATGTAAAATTTTAGAGCTTGCAAATCCACTCAGTCCTACTTCTTGTTCAACCAATCGCTCAGACAAACAAGTTTGTTTACATTTGCAGGAGATAATACTGCCTGCTTCTTGTTTACAATGTCACCTGAAAGTGAGAACGGGTGTTCACATGGCACTGTTGTAGCCGGCGTCGCAAGATATTTACATGCCAGATATGCTAAAGATTCACATGTCTCTTAACGCTTCAACCACCATTCAAGAATACGTGCGTCCGTGCTGATGACAAGTTCTGCTCGATAATAATCCAAAGCAGTGCGGACCGACGCATGTTCATTTTCATCATCTGAGTCAGATGCCACCAGCAGATGATTGATTTTCTTTTTTAGTGGTTCGGGTTCAGTAGTTTCCGCATCGGAGTGTTGCTCTTTTAAGACTTCTGAAAACATGCTCCACACCTCGTCCCTCTCAGATTTTGGAAGGCACTTTGGATTCTTAAACCTTGGGTCGAGTGCTGAGCTATCTTTAGAAATCTCACATTGGTACCTTCTTTGTGTTTTGTCAAATCTGAAGTGAAAGTGTTCTTAAAATGAACATATGCTGGGTCATCTTCCGAGACTGCTATAACATGAAATATATCGCAGAATGCGGGTAAAATAGAGCAGGGGACATACAATTCTCCCCCAAGGAGTTCAGTCACAAATTTAATTAACACATTTTTTTAACAAACATCATCAGCATGGAAGCATGTCTTCTGGAATGGTGGCCAAAGCATAAAGGGCCATATGAATGTTTAGCATATCTAGCATGTAAATACCTTGCAATGCCGGCTACAAAAGTGCCATGCAAATGCCCGTTCTCACTTTCTGGTGACATTGTAAACAAGAAGTGGGCAGCATTATCTCCTGCAAATGTAAACAAACTTGTTTGTCTTAGCGATTGGCTGAACAAGAAGTAGGACTGAATGGACACGTAGGCTCTAAAGTTTTACATTGTTTTGTTTCTGAGTGCAGTTATGCAACAACAAAAATCTACATTTGTAAGTTGCACTTTCATGATAAAGAGATTGCACTACAGTACTTGTATGTGGTGAACTGAAAAGTACTTTCTTTTGTTTATCATTTTTACAGTGCAAATGTTTATAATCAAAAATAATATACACTTTGATTTCAATTATAATACAGAATACAATATATATGAAAATGTAGAAAAACATCCAAAATATTTAATAAATTTCAATTGGTATTCTTTATTCTATTGTTTAACACTGTGATTAAAACTGCAATTAATCGCGATTAATTTTTTTGAGTTAATCGCGTGAGTTAACTCCGATTAATCGGCAGCCCTACTAAAAGCACACTTGGTGAAGGCATAGAGAGCATGTCTGTGTGTGTCTGACTGATAATTCACAGTGGCAAATTACAAAATAAGCTCACTGCCCGGACAGACAACAGATTAATAATAATACCTTGTACTTCTATGGTGGTATTTTCAGACCCATTTAAGGGGTTTGGATGTCCAGTTCGTTTTAACTTTAACAAAAACTAGACATTGAACATAAAAGCATAAGAACAGCCATACTGGGTCAGACCAAAGGTCCATCTAGCCCAGTATCCTGTCTTCCGACAGTGGCCAATGCCAGGTGCTTCAGGGGGAATGAACAGAACAGGTAATCATCAAGCGATCCATCCCCTCTTGCCCATTCCCAGCTTCTGGCAAAGAGGCTAGGGACACCATCCCTGTCCAATGGCTAATAGCCATTGATGGACCTATCCTCCATGAACTTCTCTAGTTCTTTTTTGAACTCTGCTATATTCTTGGCCTTCACAACATCCTCTGGCAAGGCAAGGCGTTCCATAGGTTTCCTGTGTGTTATGTGAAAAAATACTTCTTTTTGTTTGTTTTAAACCTGCTGCCTATTAATTGGTGACCCCTAGTTCTTGTGTTATGAGAAGGACTAAATAACACTTTCTTATTTTCTTTCTCCACATCAGTCATGATTTAATAGACCTCTATCATATCCCCCCTTAGTTGTCTCTTTTCCAAGCTGAAAAGTCCCAGTTTTATTAATCTCTCCTCAATCATTTTTGTTGCTCTTTTAGATGGCTATGCAAATCTCATCCTTAATGCACCTTCCGTTCAAGCAACTCTTAGTTAATAGATTTAACTGAGGTAATTGAAATCACTACATTATAAATTTGAATGTCAAAGCAAATATGGACGAAAATCTTACATTTGTAAGGAAATATGTTTATAATGTATTACAGCAACAAATAGCAAATTTGTGGCATGTTAAGAAGTAGCCACTCTGTCAGCAATGTGCAAGAAAAAAGCCTAGCCTACTGTGTTATTATAATATAAATAATGGACAAAACATAGTCTAAAAATACTGGCAATTTTTTATGTCAAAAAACATCAAATTCATCTAGTTTTATGTCAATGGAGTTTGCCAGGGAGGGATTTGGCCTAGTATAGTCTCTGCTGTTTCAAGACTTCAGAAAGTCATACAATTTAAGGCCAGAAGGGATCACCAGATCATCTACTCTGATCTCCTGTATATCACAGTCACCAACATCACCCAGCACCTGCACACTAAATGCACACCAGCACCTGCACACAATCACTGAAATTAGACAAAGGTATTATACTCCTCAGGAGACTAAACTATTACCTGACAGGCAGAGACTAGTAGGAGCGACTGAGGTGCACCACTGCCGGAGGCTCCTGACATGGCAGGAAATTGATTAACTGAGATGTACCCAGATGAACCAAGTGACCCAGACCTCATGCTGCAGAGGAAGGAGAAACCCTCCCCCCCAGGTCATTGCCAATCTGACCTGGGGGGAAATTCCTTCCTGACTCTACATATGGCAATCAGTTCCACCCTGAGCATGTGAACAACACCAGACAGCCAAGCACATGAAAGAGAGAATACTCTGTACCACCTCAGAGCCCTGGCCCACCTCCTTTGATCTGAATGAATGACCCAATCATTACCTTTGAAACACTGTCCTGAGTGAGTTCCACTTTAGGTTTCTTCTTTTTATTCCGACCACGAAATGTCACAACTTCCACCTCTGTTGTCTTTCCCTGTTGCGTAGATTCGGGTGACACAGCATTAGAAGCCCTTGTTTCTGGGGTGGCTCGTTTTGAATCAACAGAGTCATGATGCATCTCATTTTTCAGTTTTTCAAAGAAACTGGAAGCACTTTTCCTTTTGCCTGAGATTGCTGAATCAGGGCACGCATCTCTATCTTCCATTACTGTTCTGGAAGGTTCTGACCCCATCTTGTTCTCCACATTTTTCTTTTGGATGTTTTTCTTTTCATTTTTAACTAACGGCTCTTCTCCTGTGCTTCAAAACAAACATTTCAGCTTTCTTTTCTCATGTACCCAATAATCAGACTTTAAGACATTTAGTGTTTGTTTTCCCCTCACAACCTTTCACTCTCTTTTGTATAGCCCAGTGGTTCGCAACCAGGGGTATACATGCCCCAGGGGTATGCAGAGATCTTCCAGGGGTACATCAATTCATCTAGATATGTGCCTAGTTTTACAACAGGCTACATAAAAAGCAGTAGTGAAGTCAGTACAAACTAAAATTTGACTTGTTTATACTGAAATGTAAGTACAATATTTACATTCCAGTTGATTTACTTTATAATTATATGGTAAAAATGGGAAAATAAGCATTTTTTCAGTAATAGTGTGCTGTGACCCTTTTGTATTTTATGTCTGATTTTGTAAGCAAGTAGTTTTTAAGTGAGGTGACACTTGGGGTACCCACTACAAATCAGATCCCTGAAAGGCATATACGTAGTCTGGAAAGGTTGAAAGCCACTGGTATAGCCCCGATCAACAGGCAGGTTTACTTGCACAAGGGACCACAGGGTGTCTATGTACCACAGTGATGATGGGCACATAGTAAAGGACTGCTAGCCTAGTAAAGACTAAATGCTAAGCAGAGATACCGGGCTGGGGAAGGAGGTAATACAGCTATTTTGAGGAGCCCATGGATTTACAGTCAAAGGAGAGACTGAGCTCTTGATCTGGGGAGGAATCGACTGCTACCTGAACACGGCTCGGGGGAAGCCTACGGGTCTCTAGGGGAAGGGGGTGAAAGACTTACGGACAAACTTTCTGGGGTCACTGGAACTGCAGGAGCTGCACTGCCCCCTCCCACAAGGGGCACAGGGTCTGCAATGGGACCCCGGAGCGAGCAGCCCCGAGCCCTGCCTAGGGGACGGTAACGCTCGGCCCTACACACGCGGCTCCCCCTCTCACCCACCGAGATCATACAGGGAGTTGAGCACCGCGTCCAGCAGGCAGCAGCGCGCAGCCTCCTCCTCCTCCTCCTCCTCCTGCTGCTGCTCGCACCTGCCCGGGCTCCGCTTCATCCCCGGGGCCACGTTCTCCCCCGACCCAGCAGCTGCACGAAAGACTGAACAAACGAACGCACGCGCGGTTTTGGCCACATGCGGCCGCCGTCGTATCCAACATGGCGGCGCCCACGGGTCGCTTCTCCCCTCCCCCGCTCGGAGCCGCCCGTTAGGCAGAGCGAGGCGGGCGGGGGAATGGGCGCTCCAGGTGGAGGCGGACGCCGCGGAGATCGATAAGGCGGGGCGGGCTCAGCCCGGCGGTAGCGCGGGCAGGATGGCGGCGGCGGGGCGCTCCCGGCTCTGGGCCCCCATGTACTCGGTAAGTGCCGGGGGCGCGGGCTCCCCTCCCCTGCGCGTCTGCGCTCGACCCGGCTCCGGGGCGCCGCCGACAGCCGCTTGGGGGGCGGGTATCGGGTCTCCTACCCCGGGGAACGGAAGGGGACTCTGCGGGGCCGCGTGGCGCGGCGGGGCTGTGCCGGCCCGGTCCGGTTCGGTTCGCGGACTCCGGGGCGAGTTGAACTGCTCCGGAGACGCCGCGCAGAGCGCACGCGAGGGGGCTCGTTCGCCACCGTTCACTCTGAACCCTAACGATTCCGAGCCAAAATGGCCGCGCTCCCCTTTGGCTGCTCAGCCGCGGTGCTGTGCCCGCTACCGGCTCGCAGTGCGCGGCCAGTTCCCCTCTGGTAGAGGGTGGTTGCACCCACCGTGGTCATGTTTGCCAGCGGGCAGGATTTTGCTGTGTATTATAAACTCTTCATCTGGTCTTCCCACTAGGAAAGGTGGAGAGGGTTTTTTTTGAGGCAGGAAATTAATCGTCCTCTTCTCTTCCTACCCCTTCCCCCTCACCCCCCATCTTACTATTGAATGCAACCTCCTGCCTTCTGTTCTAATGGTTTTGCTTGTGTGTTTCAGTGAGACTTGCTTTCTCATTCTGGTTTGATATTCTCATTCAGGATTGTTTGAAATCTTTCCCCCTGTCCCTTTTAGTCACTATAGGTTTTTCTCTCTGCCTCAGCTTCCCAGACAGAATATAAATGTCTAGTACAACTAAAACCCATAAAATGTAACTATAGCATCTTGCAATTAATAGCCTAGGGGGAAAACACTTTGGGATGAGCTAATAAATGCACCCTTATAAATGACAAGACATGGTACTGGTATGATGATGGCTGTATGTTGTTATAGGCTAATCTGCCCACCCACACACTAGAAAATAGGTCAAAACAAGAAAGAGATTTGGAAGTATGATTGCTGTTTACATTGACAATAAATAGCACTAATTTACTATCATCTAAATGTTAATTAACATTCACTAAATTTGTGATTCTGCTGTATGGGTTCTGTCCAGAAGCCATCAACTACATCTCTATAGGCTCCTAAATCTGAAGGTGGTTACTTATTTCAGTTCCTTACCCTTTACAAGAGACTTATTTTCCATCAAAATTCTTAAGATGTCGTTGGAATGAAATTGTAATGACATTCCCTGTCACCAACAAAAAGGTTTCTATTGCAGATATACAAACACCTCCTTTTTAAATGGAAGCCTGCAGTATTACTGTTTGTTTAATCAATATTGTGATATGTACAAGATGTTATGATTGCAACTCTAGCTTTTGTAATGTCCTGACTTTTGAGTGTTTGACTTCTCAAATCTAATATTACAGTAATGCTAGTCTTTGCACTTAATCTTGTCTGTTTGAAGGAGAATGGGGGGGGAACGGGACACCAAAACTACTTTAAAGATGTCTTTGTTGTCAAAGGATCTGATTCATGCCCACTGGAAGACTCTCATTGATTTCACTGGGCTTTGGATCAGGCCCAGAATGCATTAGACACCTTGTGCCTGTCTAGTGGGATAGCAGTACTAGGGTGATTCTAAGTGGATCAGTTAAGCAGTATATCTTTTAACTGCGGAATCTGCCCTGCTTCTCCAGTGCAGTTACACATGTGTAAAATTCCCAGCTTTAGCATTTTTTACCATAAAACTGTTTATTGTAAAACTTGATTTTTGTTCCCCCTTTCCTAGTGAGGATTCTACAAAACAAGCGCAGTTTGACATTTCTAGCATCAGCCAATTTTTGAGGTACCTAAATTAATGCAATTTTTTATTATTTAGAACATATGGATAAACTGTTCTCCATTCAAATAACAGCAAAATTTGTTCAACATTTTAAAAATCTACTCCATCTCTTCTCTTCCTTCCTACACACAGAATCATGAACTTCAGACTAACAGGGACTGGCCACTGTGAGAGACCGGATACTGGGCTATGTGGACCAGTATCGCCGTTCTTCTGTTCTCCAAACCCAGGTGTTCAAATCTCATGAGTCAAATGTCCAAAAATCACGAGTGGCTTAAAAATCATGAGACCAAAAGTGAAACCATTTGGATTCTTTTCATTTATCTTCTGCTGTTGGAGCCTTTAGCATTGACATTTTCAAGGTCTTTCTCTGCCAACATTAGTGCTAGAAACTAACGTTTTAAAAAATGAAAGCTGAGCTTCTGACATAATCACATGAATCCAGAAGCTGTGGCTTTGAGAGACACCGAATAGTGTGACTTGTGATAAACTCAGAAGAGTTACTAATACTGCTGTTGCCCCTACTTAATTGTGGCCTCCTCACTGCTCCTAATTTCTGAAAAAAA